GTGAATAAACATCACCCCGTGGGTCCCACCCAGGGGAGGGGATTCCAGCTCAGTTTTGGGGCTGAGGTGGTAAAATGAGACCGTGTTTCCTCCTCCCTCCTGAAAAATCCCTATTTTTCTCCCTCTGGTGTGTTTTGCCAAGGAGGTGACACTGATGCTTGCAGGGGAAATTCGGGAATCATGGAGTGGTTTGGGTTGGAAGGAACCTTTAAAGGTCACCTCATCCATCTGTGCTCGACGGGTCTCTCTGGGCTGTGAGTTGCTGGGAAAAAGCCGCACGAAAGTGAAATAACTGTGACCGGGAGGGGATGGCAGCATCCCCAAAGCCACCGCTCTGCCCTGTGACAGTTTCACAGCAAAATTCATTGCAGTGAAACGTGTCTGTGCAGGGCTTGCACAGACCCAGGGTCACCACGAGATTCTCCCGGGGCTCTGGGGGGCCTCCAGCCTGGGCTCTCACAGCCTTTCCCGTCTGTAATTAAAAGAAACTACAGGAGAGATGGAGCCGGGGCTCCAGGGCCATGGTGAGCGGGTTGCTGTGACGACGTGACGCAGCTGCCCGGCACGGGAAGCCTCTGGACACTGTTAATCCCTCAGGCACACACACGGAGACCCGATAGAAACCGCCAGTTAAAAGCACTTTTTTTTTTTTTTGGGGGGGGGGTGCGTGTGTGTGTGTGTGTGTGTGTGTGTCTGGCCCAGCTGCTTGCGCTGTCACAGAATGGAATCACAGAATCGTGGAATTATGGAATTGTTTAGGTTGGAAAAGCCTAAAAGTGGGTCCAGTCCTGTCAGTCCCTCCACAGGATGGGCTGCTCTCCACAGGCTTCTCCCTCTCTGCTGTGCAACCTGAAATTATTGTTGCTTTAAGACGAAATAATTGTTCTTGGGACACCTCTCCTGTGAAATAGAGCAGTTTTCCGCTGGTGGGTTTACGTGGAGCGATGAGGATTTTCCCCGAGTGAAGGGGTTGGGTGGGGGGGCTCAGGGTGGTCCCTGGGCTGGGGGGAGGAAGCAGAGATCGGGGGGTCCCGGCACAGCCCCGGGGTGGCTCCCCCGAGCCCAGCCTGAGCACACAGGTGAGGGACAGATAATCTGCTGTGGTTCATAAGGGATTTGTGTCCCTCCTGGGACTTCCCAGAGCCGTGCATCCCAATCCTGCAGTGGAGATGAAAGCCGAGCCTGTGGGGGCTGCCAGAGGGTTTGGGATGAAGGGGAGAAATCCCCGCTGCCTGTGGAGGATGCTGGGGGAGCGGGGTTTAACCCCCTGACCAAACACCATCTCGAGGCATAAATAACAGAACTGAGGCAGCTGGTGCCGTAGAAACTGTGAAAAATAATGGATAATGGATAATGGATAATTGCCCTTCCTCTGCTGCTGACCCTTCTTTTCTCCAGGTGGTTTATGTGGAATGGCTCGGTGTGAGCAGTGGGAAACCCCCCTGTGCCACGTCCTGCCCCTGCTCAGGAGGGCTCAGCAGATGGGCTCAGGCACTGCCGGGGGTCTGTGGGGTCTGTTGGAAGCCGGGACAACCCCCAGCATCCCTCGAGCACTCGGGAGAAACCCCTTCCCCGGTGTGAAGCGGCGGCTGTTCAAACTCTGGCGCCTGTTTAAAACCAAGCTCCTTTCTCTCCTGAAGAGCCTCTTGTTCCCCTCACATCGAGCTGTTAAATCACACCCGGGGAGGGCAGAGCTGGGCCTGCGGGACCGTTCAGGAGTTATTCCCGCAGTCCCTGAGCTATTCCCAGAGCCGGTGCCGTGCGGGGTTCGCAGCGCAGGGATGCGCACATCGCTGTCTGTGCTGGGAGCTGCCTGTGCTCAGGCACCGACCCCGCTCCGCTTCCCAGGCACGGCGGATGCCTCGCGCCAGCCCAGGGCTGAGCCGAGCCGTCGGTTCAGTGCCTCCATCCCTGAGAGATCCCCCCGGGCTCGGGGAATGAGCCGTGAATGCTCGCGGTGCTCCCGTGCCGCTGCCCCTGCGCTCCTCCGGCTGCGGGTCAGGGCAGCGCTGTCAAATCGATGATGGGAGAGCTTTGAAATCTCCGTGAGTTTTCAGGAGCTGCAAGGTGGAAAGAGCTGCTGGAGGTGGGAGGAGGGCAGGGGGAGAGGTCATTGGGGAGATCACGGAACGGTTTGGGTTGGAAGGGACCTTAAAAATCATCCAGTCCCACCCCTGCTATGGGCAGGGACACCTTCCACCATCCCAGGTTGCTCCAAGCCCTGTCCAACCTGGCCTTGGGCACTTCCAGGGATCCAGGGGCAGCCACAGCTTCTCTGGGCACCCTGTGCCAGGGCCTCACCACTCACAAGGAAGAATTCCTTCCCAATATCCCGTTTCTACACCTGAGACATCGTGGTCAGACAGTCTGTGCATTGCCTCATCCTCTTCTGCTTTTTCCCAGTTATTTTCCTTATTCAAAGCACAAATCACTTCAGACTGAAAATGCAGAGTTTAAATCCAACTCAAATCAGATTTAAATTTGAACATCCATTGCTTTAGAAGTTGTTTCTAAACACCACTATGACTTGATGAACAGAATGCTTTTATCCCACCTGCTCATCCGTGCAGGGAAATGCAGGGGAGTGAATTGTGGTCTTAAAACAACTATCCTGTTTAAGCCGCAGAGGCAGCAGTGGGAAGTTTAATTTAATTAGCATGATACTCAGAGATGTAACTTAATCACATTAAGTATAGATCGACGTGCTTTCATTTAAGCTCTCCAAGCTCCAGAAAACAGGGGCCAATCGTCTCCCACCTGTCTTTAATCCGGGGAGAAGCAGAATTTTCCAAGGAAAAGGAACCAGCAAGGCTTAGGGGGAGCTTGTCCCTGTGCTTCTTTCAGACGATTTTCTCCCAAAGATTCTGAGACCCGTCTGGTCCAGCAATCACATTCCCCTAAGCCGGTTTCATTTGTGCTGCCACCACGTCTGCTAACTGGTATTTAACAAGCAAATAAACAGCGAAAAGCAAACAGAGCACACGGAAATACGGATATGGCCCAGGAAGAAGGGACAGAAGGGACTGAATTCGGATAAATCCCAAGGCCAGAGCTCCCTCCTGTTCTCCTTCTAGCCTGGGCACTGGAGGGAACCATTGGGATTATGGTTTAGGGCCACCGGAGAGGAAAAGCTCCGGGGCAGAGGATGCAGCCCAGCTCTGGGGTCACTCCGGGGGGTGGCGGGGGTGTGACCGTGTCCCTGCCGTCCGTGCCGGGGCTGAGTCCCGGTGGCAGCGGGGCCGTGCCGGTGGCCGCCGTGCAGCGCAGCAGGGCCGGGCGCCGCTGCCCTCGCACTAACGCGGTTTGTAGTTATTGGAAACTGGACTGCGGAGGAGCCAGGATGCTGTTTCTATGGAAATGTCCTGGAACAGTAAACGAGGGAAGAGGAAAACAGAAGAGATGTTAATGGAGCTGCAGGCAGGGCACTCTCCGAGGGGCTGCGACGGTGTGATTTTGAGAGAAGGCATTGGGGGTGTCTGGTCATTGTCACCTTCCCGCGGTGCTGGAGCTCACCGGATGGCTCACGCCCGAAAGGACGTGGTTGTTTCACCCCTGCCAGGGACCCCCAGAGCCCTGAACCTCTGTGCGAGGCCGGACACTGCCCCAGCGCTCCCCATGTGCGGGGACACCCCCAGGGTTCTCCCCGTCCCGTGTCACCCAGCCCCGCTGTCCCCTGGCACCTCGGGGCTGGGTTAGGGGTGCGCGGACCTGGCTGGGGTAACGGAGATGAGCTGAGGGGGCTGGTGGCGACCCCGGGAGCTGGGGGACGGCTGTGCTCACACCATGGGACCGGTCCCGGCTGCGACACCCGCGGGAGCACCGGGCCGGACCCGGTCGCCGCTTGGGCCACCGCTGCCGGGGGTGCCGGGGGTCTCGGTGCTGGGAGCGTCGGTGCCGGGGCTGCGGATGCTGGGGGTGACGGTGCTGAGGGTGCCGGCAGTACCGGGGTGCCGGTGCAGGCAGTACCGTGGATCCCGGTGCTGGGAGTACCGTGGATGCCGGTGCCGGGGGTACCGGTGCCCGCAGTACCGTGGGTGCCGGTGCCGGGGGTACCGGTGCCGGCAGTACCGGGATGCCAGTGCCGGTGCCGGTCGCGGATTGGCGGCGGCGGGAGCCCCTCCCCGGCGGGGCGGGGGCCGGTGCGGCCCCGCGGGCCCGGCCCGGTGCCCGGCAGTCTGCGGGCGCTGCGGAGCGAGCGCGGCCATGGCGGCGGCCCCGGCGGGTACGGCGGGCGGGGACCGCGACCGGGGGAACGGCACCGGGATCGGGAACCGGGACCGGGGGTGGCGGGGCAGGGCCGCACTAATGGGTTTCTTCTCCTCATTTCTCCCCGCAGAGGCGGAGACCCGGCAGCGGCTGCTGCGCACCGTCAAGAAGGAGGTGGGTGCGGGACCCCCGGAGCATCCCCGGCCCGGTGCCCGCGGGGAGCGGCGGATCCTGTCCGGGGACAACCCCGGGCCCGCCCGCCCGTGGCATCCCCTGGCTCTGTTTGCTGCTGCCGCGGGTTTAGGAGCCCCCCAAAAACCAGCCCCGAGCCCACCCGGGCGCGGTTGCGGGTCCCGGGGGGTGGAGGAGCATCCCTGCGGCGCCAAGTGCCCGGCATCCCAGCGCTCCGCATCCTTGGAAAATCGCCTCTGGCTGGGGGCAGAGCACGCCACAACTTGGGATTTTCCGCAGGGAAAAAGGGGCGACTCCCGGTGCTGCATCCTTCCCTTGGGAGCGGGGATGGGACGAACTCTCCCGCAGGGCGGGGGGCAGCGGGTGCTGGGGGAGCCCCGCCAGGAAAAGCGGGGGGGCCCAAATATGTGTGCCCAGTGCAGGGTGATGGCGTTCCGCATCTCGCTGTGCTCCCTCTTCTCAGGCATCTTTAACTCTATTAGTTTGTGCGTTGTTTTATCCGTGTTTATCCCGTGTGTTACACCTGGTCCGTCGAGTCACGGAGCCCGGTCCTGCCCGGTGCCGAAGCGCTGGGTCACCGCGAGCTGCTGTCATGTCCTGCCCACGCTCTGTCCCTGCAGGTCACCTCCCGGGATGCCGGAGGGGGGGCTGCGTGTGTGGTGTTTTGTTTCTGGTGTTACGAGCATCTCGCTATCCGGTTTACAGGCTCCTGGGGAGTGGAAGACACTGCTTGGAGTCGGGAGAAGCAGAGCCGTGGGTGGTGGGTTCGGGAAGGGTCACAGCGCTGCCCATCCAGACCACTTCCCACTTTAATCCTGTGCCGGGTGTGGTGCTAAGGAATACTCCTGGTTGCCTCAGCAACAGCTATTAAACCAGGAAAAGGGTATGACATTTATTTGGCGTTGTGGATAGAGCTGCCATCTCATTATTGCTGTCTGTGGCAGCTGCTGCAGGGTGGGAGCCAGGGCTGCTCCTGTGCTGGCCTTCAGTGCCCGGCTCTGCTCCCTCCCTGGTGCCTCGGGGAGCAGGGCTGGGGCTGGTCCGTGCCCTTCTGCTGGATTTTGGGGAGTTAACCTGGGTTTGGTGAATGTGAGGGAGGGAAGGGGTGCGTGGGGAGAGCCCTCCTGCCCTGTCAAGTGCCACTATGGTGCTGTGACCTGGGTGTTTGACACGTTCCAGCTCTCTCCAGCAGCTCCCTGGTGCTGACACAGAGCAGAGGATTTTTCCTGGTGATCCCATCGTTCAGGATGTCGATGTGGGTTCCCTGCCTGTGCAGGTACCAGTGGTTGCCATTCCATTGGGATTTGCCTTCCACTGCTGCTGGAAGTGCTGAGCTTGGACAGGGCTGGGTGCAGCAATGGGGGCACACAGATGGGAGAATTCCATGTAGCACCTGTGCCCTCCTTTGCTCTGGCAGGAATTAAAAACTTGGGGAAACATGGTCCTGTAGGTTATGGAGTTAACTATTTAGCACCATCCCTGAAACCAGGAGCAGGTGGGGCATTCTTGTGCCTGTTGCTCCCTGATCATGCTTTTGGTTTTCCTTTTGCTTTTTTTTCTTCCTCTTCTAGGCTGACCTCAGATTAAGTCAGGAGCTTGTGCAGCCTCCAAGGAGCAGTAGAAAGGGCCAGCTGCAGAAATTTGGAGATTTTTTTTTTTCCCCCACTCCCAGATTTTTTAACCTTTCTCAAACCTGTATTATTCTCATTTCACGAGGCCACGCCTGGTTTTGCTCCATCCAGGGCTCTGTGTGAGCTGCCAGGGCCCTCAGGTGAGCCCAGCTGAGAACAGGGACAGGCAGGGCTGTCCCTGGGGAGCTGTGCCACGTCTGTCACCCTAGGGCCATAACTGAGTGAGGCAAACACTGGGAAGAAGGTCTGATCCGAGCAGGGACAGAAACAATAAACTGGAATTACCCAGGGCACTGAACAGCCCTCAGTATTTGGCTGTTGCCATGGTTAAGGCATTGGGTTCTGGAGAAGTCCTGTGCTGCAGTGGATGTGCAGGTTGAGATGAGCTGTGTTATCTGTCACCATCTTCTTCCTCCCCCCCCCTCCACCCCATATGGTCACAATAAATCAAACCAACCCTGGAAGCTGCAAAATTGACTGATTGTCAGCAGGCTGCAAGGGAAGCAGTGAAGTCTGACTTTGTGAGGCATCCTGTGTCCTGTTCTGCAGGATAAGCAGCAGGACCAACATTCTCTGATTTTTTTTTTTTTAAAGCTTTTATCAGATGGAATGAGGCTTTTTTACAAACCCAGAGCCTGAAATACCCAGGTTTGGAAGGGTGTGGGTTTTTAATTAGAAGTATTCCCCTTGCACCCTGTGTCACTCCCGTTGTTTTACAAGTTTTGTTGTGAGCAGAGGAGAGTCCTGAGGTGTGTTTTGAATTCCCTCCAGGCACAGAGGAAGGGAAGCAGGTGTTACCTGTGCAATCCACCTGCACACGTGTCCCTGGAATGTGAGCTGAGTGAAAAGCTGGGTGCTGTATGAAAGCAAACAGTCATCTTGGTCGTTCTTCTGCAAAAACTTAGTTTATGTTTAACTTGCCACTCAGGAAGCACCTCTGAGTCTTTACTCATCAGTAGCTGTTAAACCTGGATTGAACATTTTGCTGCCTGTTCTTAGAATTCTTTCAAAAAATTGGGGTTCACCACAGCCTGCTTGTCTTCTGCCAGATATACAGTTTATTTTTCAGTAGCTGGAATGGTTGTCACTGTGTAGCTGTTGACTAATTCCTTCATCATGTGTCATGGGAACAACAGTCAGTCTCTTCCTCCCACCCTTTCAGAGAAGCCCCTGCTTTGCAGCCATGTTGCCTGGTTTGTGGCTAAATAACACAAATGACTGGTAAGAGCAATGTTTTTGCAGCTTGGGTTTGTTTTTCTGTGTGCCTGCCATTCCAAAATATTAGATTGCAGGTGTCAGTGCCAGCTATTTCATTCTGGATGGGTAGAAAATTGTAAATTAATTTAATGTTACTAGGATTTGAAAAATTAATGTTGAGAGCTTTAAGTGTTCTCGAGGCCAGTTTATTAAAAAAAAAAAAATAAAAGGGAAAAGGCCTTTGTGTAGCTGTCAAAAGTGTTCAGGCAAGATAAGGATGAGGATGATGAGTTGCAGATTGATAATGAAAGCTGCTGTTGGCAGAGGGACCCTGTGATGTCTTTCAAGCACCCAGGGCAGCCTTTTTCAGATATTTCTGTACCAGGAGAGAACAGAGGGCCCTTAATGCAGCATTTCTCGATTGCCTGCATCGATCTGCTCTGAAGAGCAGCACTGATCACTGGGGACCATTTCCTCTCCTTTTCAAGATAAAAGCAGGGCTTTGCACAAGAGCTCTCGTGCTCCAGAAACCCCTGGCTTGAGCTTTCATCCCCAGAGCAGTTTTTGTGCTGCTTTTCCCCCTTCCTCACACCTTCCCTGGGCCAGGGGATGCTCTGTCCTCTGCTGCCAAAATCTCCTGCCCTCCTCCCTCCCAGCATCCTGGCTGTTGCCATGGGAACACCTGGCTTTGCACAGATCCAGGACTTGAGGGCAGTTTGGAGCTGGAAGTTGCCCTGGGTTTCAGCATCATCCTTTGCCACATTTCAGTGAATCCAAAACACTCATCAGGGTGACACCACTGCCTGGGAAAAGCAGGAGCTTTGGGATGTGGTGAGAGCAGAGCCTGGCTTCGAGGTTGGGTGTGCTGGAAACACAGAAATGACTAAAGTTTGCCTTAAATGTTTCCTTAAATGTCTGTATTGAGCATTTACAGCGAGCAGTGCCCACAGATGGCATGGAAATGTGCACAACAGGAATAGAACCAGCTACAACGTGATCTTAGGCAGCTTAAATTAGTGTTGTAAGCACGGATTTTTGGCCAAAAGTTGATTCACTGTGGAGGAAGTCTGGTGCAAAACACCATCAGCAAGTACACGTGGCTGGGATCACCCCTGTGTGCCCCAGGGTGCAATGCTGCATTATAGATCCTTCCATTAATATATTTTAAATTCATTTCCCCAGCAAACTGCACGAATATTCCGAGTTCTTCTGGTGCCTCATCCCCTAAGGAGCCTCATCCCAATCCCCAGCTGTGAGCACATGTGGTTCCTGGGGAAGGGCTGGCCTGGAATTCCCTCCTGTGTGTCACGTGGAGGATCCCTCAGCTGCAGGAGCTGCCATGTTTTATTCAGCAAGTGGTCATAAATAATGAAATAAGACTTTTAGAAAAGCCAGAGGTCTCAGTGGGCTGGAGGGTGATCGATGTTTTGGAGGCAGCAAGGGTAGGGAGCTGCCAAATGGCTTTCAAGGCAAGTGCCTGCTGCCATCAGAGCTGTCCCTGTGCTGTCCCCTCGTGCCAGGGGCCACCAAAATGTGTCTGGGTGTAAGTGGTGCCTGTGCCCTGCAGCTGGGGGTGTTCTAACTGGTGCAAGCACAATTAATTGGGATTTTTTTATAGTGGTCAGCCAGTGAACTCTTGGAGAAGTGGCAGAGCGTGGCTGCAGTTCTCCATCTCCATCTTCATCTCTGTTTTTTGCTGTAAATCCTTTGGGTTTGGGGTGGGATGCTCTCCCAGTGCTTTGGCTCCACATTTTTTGCTCATCCAGGTGTTTTTTTGGTGCTGGATCTGGCAACCAGGCCCATTCCTGGATCTGGTGACCAGGAGCATCCCCACAGCTGCCCTCAGCCTGTGGCAACGTGAGCGAGCTTGACCCTGGAACAGGACTGGGAAAAGGAGCTCCCTGGGGACTCTGTTTGCATCTGGCTGCTGTAAACAATTTCACAGAGTTATGAGCGTGGCCAAATAGACAGGAGGTGCTGTGCTTCCACAGAAATGCCTTAATAACCAGTGAGAGGCTTTGCAAGAGGCAGGAAAACAGTCTGCAAACATCCCTGAATGATCCAGAGTAAAGGTTCTACAGGGAAAAATGTGACCAGGTGGAACAGTTGTGAGTGAATATTGCCTTGGACTAATTAAACCTGGAGTTCTTGGTTTGCTCCTGGTCCCTGCACCTCAGTGGTGGCTGTGGCTGGGACAATATTCCAGCAGTGTGAATGACAGCAAAGCTGGACTTTGGATGATGCATATCCCTGGGAATTCTGTAGCCTTCATCCCTCCCTGAGGCCTGGGGTTGTTGGACAAGTGAGGGTTTGATTTCACTTTCCAGGGGACTTGTCCTGTGCTCACAGCTGGAGCCAGGGGGGTTGTTTGTGCTGTTGTGGAACACTTGATGATATTCCTCTCGAGTTTACCTACAGCTAAATTATTAGTTTCTGTTTTAATTTCCTTTCTAATAAAAGAAGAGCAAACATCTCATTTCTCCAGGCTGGCATGAGATCCAGAGTGGGCAGCTTCATCTGTTGGGATTGTTCTGGCTTCAATCTGAGAATTAGCATTAAAATGCTGGAATGCAGCACATTCAGAGGCTGTTCAAGTCCTCTCTGTGGAGGGAGCCAAGTGTGGCTGAGCTGATGGATGTCCCCGGGGTGTCACAAACTCCTGGCAGATCCCAGCTGGCTGTGGAGGGCTGCTCCCAGTGGGAGAGTCCTTTGGGGTCTGCCAGGAGTTTTGGGGGTCTCTGGCTCTGAGCTGTCCTACAGATGCCAACGGTGTCTGTTTGGGCAGATGTAAGGTGGTTTTGTTGGAAAACTTTCTTGGTACGTAGAGAAGGTTGGGATCTCTTGGCTCTATTCCCTGGAAGTGTTGATTCTGTTCCCTGCAAGTGTCCAAGGCCAGGTTGGATGGGGTTTGCAGCAACCTGGGCTAGTGAGAGGTGTCCCCACCCATGGGATAAAATGAGCTTTAAGGTCCTTTCTACCCAAACCATTCCAGGATTCCAAGGTATCCCTTATTTTGTCTGTCTGGCCTCTACCTGCTGGGGCTGTTGTTTGTGTTTGTCACACACTTCCAGTCCTTTATTATTTTTAGCGTTACAACCTCAGCCAACGCAGTGCAAAATTTTTTATTTTTTTTTTTAACTTGTAATGAGTAATTTTCCACTAAACTGTGTCTCTTGGAAGGTGTTTTGTTTGTGCCTCGAGTGTGCAGGTGGTTTGTGCAGTGTTGGCACTGAAATGCCCAGTCAGAGCCGGGTCCTGCTGTCCTGGATGGTCCCCAGGGCAGGCAGATGGTCACTGCCCTGGGGAAGGCACTGCAGGCATTGTGCCAATATGTTGAAATTTCAAAGAAATTTTTCAATATATTTATATTGGGGTATTTATAAATAAATATTTATATTGGAATATACTTATATTTGAATATGCTTATATTGGAATATTTCCTGGTTGAATCAGAAGCTGGTGAAGACATAACTCTGTACATTGATTTTTCAGGTGTATTTTGAGGGGTGCAGCCAGTGCACCCATGAGTGTACATTTAATATCTGTGTGCCATCATTTTCTGGGAGGTCAGTTGGATGTGTGAGAGAGAAGTGCTGTGCCCTGCTGACAGAGAAAGCTCAGCCTGCCTGGGTGAGGGTCAGGAGCCATCTGGACAAGGGTGGGTCAGCCAGCTGGGAGAGCCAAAATTTCAGGGAATCCCTAAGGGCCCCAAGATGTGAACTTCCCTACCAGGGCTGCTCCCAGGGATGGCTCCTGGGCTGGGCAGGCTTTGGTGGACACCTGGAATTCCAGGTGGAGGAAAAAGGGGAAGCTCTGGGGAGCACCTGGGTGCTGGTGGACATGAGGTGTGTGCTGCTTCCCATCCCTGATCCACCCCTGCAGCCAAGGCTGAGGGATGTGTGGGAGACTGAGGCTCCTGTCCTCTTGCTGGGACTTGTTCTGTCCCTGTTTTTGTTGCTGAAATGTAAAATAAAATGGTGCTGGAGCAAGGAGCCCTCAGTGAGGGTTGCAGCTGCCCCTTCCCTGGTGCCCAGCATGGGAAAGGGGAAAACTGTAGATGGGAGACAAGGAACGAAGGAGCACCAGGAGGTGCCCAGAGCAGGGACAGCTGCAGTTTTAGGACACAAAGGTGGAAGGTGGAGCTTTATCCTGGTCCTTGGGGTGTTCCTGCAGGTGGAGTCACTGCTCTGAGCTCAGGGCTGGGATGTGGGAGATGTGGGAGATGCAGGAGCTGGACCATGCTGTGCCAAGAGGAATTCCCAGCACTCCAGTCCCGAGTTCCACATCTCAGTGACATCCCTTGCTGTGATTTCCTGAGTCAGTACCAGCTCATCCGAGCTGCTGGCACCCAGGGAAGTCTCAGGGCTCTGCTGCTCACGGAGCAGGGAGCAGTGCTGGGATCTCACCTCAGCTCTTGGCTCACAGACTCTGCTCTTAATCCACACTCAGGATTTCCTTTATGGAGCTGTCAGCTGTGCATAACTGACTTTGATTATACCTTGCAAAGGCGTTTAATTCCCCAAATGATGCCATTAAAGGTCTCTCATTCATGCAAGGTTTGCTTGGCCAAGTCTTGACCTGCTGTATTTCCCTCCTCCCTGTGCCCTCAGGGAGAACACTTTGCTAAGCAGAGCTTCCTTCACACCCTCAGCTCTGTGCTGGGAACATTTTCCCTGTGTTTTCCAAAACCAAGATGTTACAGAGGCACTGGAGGATGAGATCCAGGCATGCTGGCAGCTGTGTTTGAAAGGAGAAGGGGTTGGGAGCTGAATGTTGAAGGAGCAAAGATTCAGCTGGGCTTTGGCTGGTTGCAGCAGGATTAGGGAGAGTGACAGCTGGGGATGGAAGTCACCACTCTGCTGCCAGACCCGAGCTGGCAGGTCTGACCTCCTGTCTGCTCCCTGCAAAAAATACCCTCCTAATTTGTGTGGGGTCCTATTTGTTTTTGCCCCCTAATCGTGCCTCTGATGAGCACTAAGTGACAGCTTCCTCTAGATCAGCTGAGTGCCAGTTGTGAGTCAGAGAGGGCAGAGCTGCTGGCACTGCTGTGCAAATGGAATTCCTGGGCACAGCTGATGCCAGGTGATCACTGAATTAGGCACTGATGGATACTTGCAGTCATTTGGGACATCTGTGTCACAGGAAATTTGTCAAACAAAATGAGAGGACAGAACAATGCTGTAGAAACCTTAAATATGAGATTTGGGTACCTTTCTTAGATGACTTTTATCTAAGTGATGCTCAGTCCCCTCAGTTAATTCTCAGCTCATCGTTTTCCTACTGTGAAGTTTCTCAAAAATGAAACAACCCTTTTTTTAATATCTGACTTTTTGAAATAGCTGGTGATGCTCAGCAGCCAGACCTGCATCAATCCTTTGTGAGATCTCCTGTGCTATTGGGAAAACCTGGGAGCAGAAAAAGTTCCTGTGCACCCACCCCACTGCAGGGCTCTTTCCTCTGGTCCATGGCTGAAATTCCATGTTTTCCCCAACCTGTCCTGCAGGTGAAGCAGATCATGGAGGAGGCTGTGACGAGGAAGTTTGTGCATGAGGACAGCAGCCACATCATCTCCTTCTGTGGTGAGTCTCCCGTGCTGGCCTGCACTGGGGTTTAGGTGCTGTGCCCTCCAGGTGCCATTCCTGGGAACACACTCCAGCACCCTGGGCTGGGCAAGTGCCAGAGGATGGAATCCCTGAGGTCTTTGTGCTTAAAATGTGTGTCAAAAGAAGGAGGGATGCTGGCAGTGTGTGCAGCCGTTGAGGAAGGGCTAGAAATAATATTTTATTTTTAAATTCCCTTGAGAATTGATTCAACTGAAAGTTCTGTCAAGTCCAGATCTTTACTTTGCTGTTACAGAATAGGAGTTTAGGGAAAGGAGGCTGGGCTTTCTCCTTTCCTGCCCTCACATCAGAGACACAGGAGCCTGTTCCCAGCCCCTGGCTCCTGTGTGGCATCGAAAAAGCAGAGCAGACTTCCAGGTGTGACTCATTCCCTGCTTTTCTGTGCAGCACGAGGCTCCTCAGCCTGGGATTATTTATAGGCTCCTGCAACAGGGAGCTGAGGCATCCAGGCACGAAGGGCTCCTTGGTTCCTTCTGGCCTCTTAAGGTGCTGCTGCCCTTTCCCTGGTTCCCGGTGTCCCCCTCCTGCTCTGTTCCTCTCACTGGAATAGTTGCTGCAGCTTCCCTGGTGTTGTGGCTCTCCAGGAGCTGGGTGAGCTTATAAATAACCTCTTTCCCTGCCAAGCAGAGCGTGCTGCAAGCCTGGCTCTGGCTGCCAGAGCTGCCCTTTTCTCTGGAGAGAGAAGAGCTGCCTTCCCAGCAGAGCCCTCCTGACGGAGCCCTGTGCACAGCCAGCGTAGCACAAACCCCTCTGGATGGAGCCAGTGGTCTGGCAGGGAAGGGCAGCAGCTCCCAGGCCCCTCTGGGGGCTGTTAGGGGGAGTTTGGAGCAGACAAACATGAGCTGGCATCTGTCACATCCAGGCTGCCCTGCCAGGCTGATGGGGAGCCAGGGTTTGGTGCCCACGTCAGCCAAGGCTGCTCAGCCCGAGGGCTTTGGATGTGTCAGAGCTCTGGGCAGCTCAGGAATATCTTCAGTCTTTTGCCAGGAGTCAAAGCTGCCCCCTTACCTGGGAGGAGCTGAGCAGGGCTCCTGCACCATGTGTGTCTGCTGTAGATTATATCCTGCATGTCCTGACACAACTGAGCTCCAGAACTCCTCTGATTTTAAGATCCTACCATTACCCCCGGATTTAGTAGAGCAAGGGGAAAGTTTTTCCTATGGAAGCTGCACGTTTCCCTGTGGTTTTGCCAGCAGGAGTGGTGTTTTGCATAAGTTCAGATCTGGCACTGGGAACAGATGCTGCTGACAGCTCTGTCTTGGTGCTCTGTGCCAGAGGCCTTTCAGGAGCTGAGATTTCTCCCTGCCTGGCTGGAGCTGGGATGTGCTGCCCGTGAGCTGAGAGCACCAGTGCTCCCATTTGTCTGCTGGGAATTTGGAATGGATATATGGAATTTGGTGGCACTGGGAGCTCACACTCTTGGGAGTGCAGCTGGGCAGGAGCAGCCCTGGCTGCTCACCCCTCTGTGGGTCCCTGAGCTTTCAGCACCAGCCTGAGCTGGGCACTCCAAATGAGCACCCCTGGGTGCAGTCTCAGGCAGGTGGGGCCGTTTGTCACCTGCATTTCAGCCGTGGAGCATGGGACAAATGAAGGAGATGTTGGCTTTTCTGGCAAAGCCGTGGAGCAGTTCGGGTTTTATTTTATTTGTGGCCGCACATAATCCTTGGGCAGGTGGAGCCCTCTGGGCTTTGGGAGGGCTGGTGCAGGGCCTGGTTTCAAAGCCAGATGTCCCTGCAGTGGCTCTGCCTGGCTGCTGGGGGCCAGCAGGGCTGGGCTGGCCCAAATCTGGTGTTGTTCTGCCAGCACAGGCTCTGTCTCAACACCCCTCGGATGCTGCTGCTCAGCATGGAGCTGTGCTCAGGAGCAGGGCAGGATAATGAGCTTCTCCCAGCCTGGGCGCTGCTGTGATGGAGATGCATGGAATGCCTTTTCCTGTGTCTCCATGGAGTTGTTCAGCTGTAGGGAAGTGTTCCTTTCCAGGCAGGAGGTGAAGCAGCATCTGATGGGCTCGGCTCAGCAGTTCTGGCTTCCCAGGGAGGAGGGAGCAGAACCTGGATCAAGGGGCTGAGGACTGTGGGTCTGTGTGATTTTCCAGTGCTTTGATCAGCCCGTTTAATCAGTCTGTGTTTGGCACTAGACATCCATCCTGAGCCCTCCCAGGGGACTTTGGGAATGAGCTATCTGTGCATGTGTTTGTGTTTCTGTGGAGTCATCGCTGATGCCAGGGATCCCTGCTCACCATGGCGGGACAGGGAAGGTGTCTGGGGCTGTCTGGACACTCACTGGGGTTTGGTGAGTGCCTCTGGGCAGAGTCCAGGACATGGAGCCTTCCACAGGGGCTTGATGAGTTCCTGTGTCCCCGAGTGCCAACAGAGTCCCCAAAGCCAGACTGAGCTGCTGGCATGGCCTGTGGTTTATCCCCAGGTTCTTTGTTCCTTTCAGCTTTTCAGAAAAATGTTTGTATGAACACTGAGATGTTTTGGGGGAAAATTGCCCCATCTTCTGTGCTGCTTTAGAAACCCTCAATGTGCCTGTCCTTGCTCCTGAGCTTTCCCATCCTGTGTCCATCCTTCAGACTGGGCCAAAGGGAAAACCTCAGGGAGATGCTGGTTTCTCCACAGTCCACAAGAAACCCACAAGGAGAGTGCCAGCCTGTTTGCCCAGCACAGCCCAGCACTTGCCCTGCCTGGAAAAGCTGTGCTGCTTGTTGTTAATTCCTATGTGGCATGGAATTACAATTTCCTGAAGTCGAGGTGGGGATGTCTCTGCCTTCAGATTTACTGTCTGAGGAGTTTTAGGAGCTTCCATCCATGTTCAAGGATAGGTTGGATGGGGCTTAGAGCAACGTGGTTTAGTAGGAGGGCTCCTGATGAGCAGATTTCCTGTGGTCCCCTCAGATCCTGGGAGGTGCTGTGAGGTCTCCACACAACCTTCTCTACCCTAGGCTGACCAGCCCCAGCTCTCTCAGCCTGGCTCTGTGGGGAAGGTGCTCCTGAGGTTGGCCCAGTTGGGTAGAGCACGGTGCTAATAAAGCCAAGATCACATTGTGCTAATAACTCTGTGTCCACTGATGGGCTAATCACTCAAAGAGCTGGGCTCGATGATCCCTGTGGGTCCTTCCAGCTGGGAATACCCTGCTCCTGGGGCCTGTTCTCTCTGCAGCTGCTGTGGAATGCTGTGTGCTGTTCGGGCTGAAGCGCAGGGCGGCCGGCTTCCTGCGCAGCAACAAGATCGCAGCGCTCTTCATGAAGGTGGGCAAGAGCTTCCCGCTGGCAGAGGAGCTCTGCAGGAAGGTGCAGGACCTGGAGCAGCTCATTGAGAACGCGTAAGGCACCAGCGTGGCTGCCAGTCCTCTCTGCTCACTCGGGTTTCGGGGTGGGAGGTGTGCTTTGGGTCCAGTTTGAGCCTCATTCAGTCTTCTGCTGGGTGTTTTGTATCTTGACCAAACTGGTTGCTGTTCTGAGGTGTGGTTGTGGTTTAAGCAAGGGTGGACAAGTTCTGACTCTGCCCCTGCTCTGGTGCTTCAGGGACAGCTGAGCACGCTGCTCCTGAGCTGTCACAGTTTATGGACCAGTTCACCAAGCCAGCTGGAACCACGTTTGGCCTGTCTCAGTGTGCAGGGCTTGAACCTGCAGTAATTCAACTGCTGTTTGGGAGAGGATTACTCATCCTTGGACAATTAACGGGGAGATGGATGGAGCAGCTACCTGCGGGCAGGAATTTTAAGCTGTGCTAAGATGAGCTGCTCTGCCAGTGAGCTCAGCCTTGGAAAGATGTGTGGGCTGGAGGACTGTGCTGAGGGAGAGGGGGGATTTTACAGTGGGGAACTGATTTAGTGGCCTCTGGTTTCAAATGCAGCTGTGGCCCCTCTGGAGCAGGGATGGGACAGGAAGCACCTCCAGAGCTCTGTCCCAGGAAATTCCTGGTCCCAAACCCCTGGTGGCAGGAGTGTCCTGGGCTCCCTCAGAGTTCAGGGATGAGCCTGTGGTGTTGTTGTTTCTTGTCTTGTACCTCCAAAGGCGAAACCAAGCCCAGGGGGTCCCGGAGAACGTGCGCAAGGTGCCCAAGATGCCCAACCTGTCTCCTCAGGCCATCAAACACCTCTGGATCCGCACAGCCCTCTTCGAAAAGGTGCTGGATAAAATCGTGCACTACCTGGTGGAGAACAGCAGGTGAGCACAGGGACACCCATGGCAGTCCATGGCACTGGGAATGAGCAACATCAGTACCCACGAGGGCCAGGGAGGTCCCTGGATGGCACAGGCCAGGTGTGTCACTCAGTGCCCATGGTGGGCACTCTGAGGGATGTCCTGCTGCTGGTGACCACTGTGCACTCCCTGAAGTACAGGCAGTCCACACTGGCCCTGGTGATGGCTGCATTGTCCTTGTCTTCTGGGATCTGCATGCTCAGGTGTCCTGTCCTGGGACAGGTTAGTTAGGAGATGGTGATGCTTGAAATGTGCTGCAGGGGGGTTACTGTTCCCCAGGAATTTCTCAGCTGGCCTGAGAAATTAGGGCTTCTTGCCCTCTCCCCAACAAGGGGAGGTACAGAAAGAGAAGGGCATGACAGGGATTTAAACCACTGTCTGTAACTTTGCAGTGCTCCAGCATTCTGCTGTCCTTTATTTCTTCTAGTAAGTACTATGAGAAGGAAGCTCTCCTGATGGATCCTGTGGATGGGCCAATTCTTGCATCTTTATTGGGTAACACTTTCTCTACTTGCTTTCCCTCCTTGCTTTCCAAACCCACGCTCCCAAATCTGGGATCTCCAGATCCGGGAGGTGACCACGGCTGTGGGATCAAGGATGGCTCCTTTATGTTTGGGGTTTTCCTCTCCACAGTGGGGCCCTGTGCACTGGAATACACGAAGATGAAGACTGCTGACCACTTCTGGACAGACCCCTCTGCAGATGAGCTGGTGCAGAGGCACCGGATCCACAGCTCCCACTGCCGCCAGGACTCACCCACCAAGCGCCCAGCACTCTGTGTGAGTGGGGATAAACCTCCCTCTGCTCCTCCCAGACCCAGGATCTGGGCTCCCTTTGCTTGTGGAGCCCTCTGATGAGGGAAGTCTTTGAGGCAGAGGTGCTGGGAATGTGGCCCATGAGAGCAGTGGTGTGTGCCAGCCCCTGCTGGCGCTGCATCCCAGGGTCTGTGTGCCCTGGGACCATCGTGTACGAACAGAAAGCTGAATCTGCTCTGTGTGCTGCAAACAAAGCTCACTCCTGGGGCTTCTCTGAGCTTGAACAGAGTCAGGAATCCCCTTAGAGGACCCTGAGGGAAAGATTTCTAGTAGTGACTGTCATAAGTGTGTAAGTGAGGAGGGAATGAGGCCCAAGAGAAGCCTTTGGGAAGCCAGGGGATGTCTGTGCTCACCTCCCATTTGTGGGCGTGTCTTGCAGATTCAGAAAAGACATTCCAGTGGCAGCATGGATGACAGGCCATCCCTGTCTGCCAGGGACTACGTGGAGTCCCTGCACCAGAATTCCCGAGCCACGCTCCTGTACGGCAAGAACAACGTCCTGGTGCAGCCGGTGAGCTCCTGCTGGGAAACCTGGCCTGGGGAACACTGCTCTGCTCCTCCTTGTTCTAGCCCAAATTGCTCTTGGGTGGAGAAAAGTATGTTTTTAACCTGGGAAGACAGTCGGTGGACTGTGTTTGTGGAGGCCTTGGTGATACAGATCCTCCCAGTGGGATGGAAGAGCTCTGCTCCAGTCTGGTAGAAACACAGGCTCCTCTCCCTGCCCATTCTTTACCACAAAACTCCTCCTGCTATCCCTTCCTGCTTCTTGTAGTCAAATAAATGAAGTGCAAACTGCTTTTAGGTGGAGCTATTAAGTCTTCCATGCTGGGCAGTTGCTGTCAGCCTTTTTCCAAGGCTTTGAGGTGCCCTGGAGTCTCTGCTAGGAGGTTTTCCAGTGGATTTCTCCCTGGTGTGATTGGGTGGGCTCAGGTGCTGAGCAGGGCTGTGTGAGGGGCCATGACTGGGCTGCAGTTGTGCTTCTGGCACCTTCCAGCTCACGGTGTTGCTGTGTTTCTGTTCCCAAGAGAGATGACATGGAAGCAATCCCGGGATATCTGTCCCTTCACCAGACTGCTGACATCATGGCACTCAAGTGGACCCCCAACCAGCTGATGAATGGCTCTGTGGGGGACCTGGACTACGAGAAGAGGTGACTGGCTCTGAGTATGCCAGGCCAGGGGGGGAAATGTTCCCCTGGGTCATGGTTTGGATCTGGGATGCAAAACCATGGCTGTTTTCCCAGAGCTAAACCATCATCCTTGAGCCCGTAGTGGGAGGGTGGCAGGAGGTGGTGTGAGATGTGTCTCTGCTGGGAAGGAGTGGGACTTGCTCCAAAACACACAAAGTGGTTTCATTTGTTGCCCTGGGGGATTTTCTGAGGGATTTTCCCTCCCCTCCCTCCCAGCACACTCTGTTCCTGGGTTTTTCCTGGCTCCAGGGAAGTGGGAGTGTTTAGGACACTGATGCATCGACCTAGAGCAGAGATCTTCTTCAGCAAAACTTGGTCTCACTTTTGTTCATTGCCAGTTGTAGCTTTTTGGGTTTTGTTTACCTGTGCTCTTTTCATCTCCCCTTTCTTCTTGGCCCCATGGCCGTTCAGTTGTGCTCGGTGCCCTCTCCTAAAATCTGTTTTCATCTCTACACTCCTTTTCTGAGTTCTTGCCTTGGGCATCAGCCTAAACTCTAAAAATTCCCAGTGTCAAGATGTGACCAAGGAAGAGAGGAGGCAGATGGCACAGTGAGTATGACTGTACAAGGAGTGACTCTTGCACACCTTCCTGTCCTTCACGAGCTGTTTTTAATGTTATTTAAGCACTATTTTTATGAAGTGGCAGATGATGCTGCTGCTCAAAATCTGGAAATTCGCTTTGTTGCGAAGAAGTGGGATGTGATTGAGTGCTGACACCCTTGGACAGCAGTGCTGGGCTCTCCACAGGGATGGACCCTGCCTCTCTGCTCTGTCTGGTGGCCACCAGCTCTCCAGCATGCTCTAAACTTGCTCAGACACCTCGAGGTGCCTGTGCTGAGACAGTTCTTGAACAGAAGCAGCTGAGACCAAAACTGTTGTGAGCTCTGAAAAAAAAAAACCACAAACTGTGAGAGTTTATTTCCCATCTCCAGGGCAGAGCAGCAGCCCAAGCTTGGAGCTCACTGCACATTTCCTTGGGGCTCCTGAGGGATTCTTGGGGTGCTCAGAGGAGTGTGCTCAGCTCTGCAGGGCTCCAGTCCCTCCCTGCAGTTGCCATGATCCATGGACACATTTCTTGTGTCTGGGAACAGTGTGAGGGCAGAGAAGCCACCCAGGGCAGGCAGGACAGGGCTGGGCTCAGGTGGCAGGGACAGTCCCTGGTTCTGGAGGGATGTTGTCACTCATCAGGCTGGCATCACTGCTCCGGGATCTCATCCTTTCTGTGGCTTTGCCTGGTGCCAGGGGATCTGGAGCAGGATTTGGAGCTGCAGTGAGCAGCAGCAGAGCCTCTCACACCCTCGAGGCTCACAGCTTCCCTGTGCCTCTGTTCCAGCGTGTACTGGGACTATGCCATGACCATTCGCCTGGAGGAGATCGTGTACCTGCACTGTCACCAGCAAGGTAAGGCCAGAGCTGGGGCTGCTGGGGGCTGTCACACCCTGCCACTTCATCCCTGCCATGGTTCTGCTTTGGCTCCAGGGCAGATGCCCAGAGCTCTGGGTGGTCACTATGATTTAAGTGCTTCCAGGAAAGTCTTTCCCCATCTCCTGGCTGTGGTGCTTGGCCGGGAGTGCTCCCTGCAGAGCAGGGCTCTGATTTCCAAGGGGGTGATCCCAGCAAGCCTTTTCCAGGGCCTGGCTTATCATGGACTTAGAGGAGAATCCACACAAGGAAGAAAGTCCTTATTTTCCATTCCCTGAGCTTTTCCTGCCCTCTGCCTGTGCTGTTTCCCTCCCTGATGGCTGTGCCTGCTCTCGCTGTTGCCAACAGTAGACAGTGGTGGCACGGTTGTCCTGGTGAGCCAGGATGGCATCCAGAGGCCACCTCTGCGCTTCCCCCGTGGAGGACACTTGCTGCAGTTCCTGTCCTGCCTGGAGAATGGCCTCCTGCCCCACGGGCAGCTGGATCCACCCCTCTGGTCACAGCGGGGAAAGGTGGGTGCCCGTTCCTGCTGGGGTTCCCGTGTGCCCACTCTGCCTGGCATTAGTGGCTGCCGCGTTTAAAACAGCAAAATTCATGTGGTTGGGTCTGGCTCATGGCCTTGCCCAGCTCAACAGACCCTTCTGGACAGCTGGGGGGGTGGTGTGGGAGGGCTGCCCATGAGGGTTGGGTTTTTTGGGCCGTATTTACCCTGTGCCCAGCGGGGTTATGGATTCACCTGCCATTGGAAACTCGTTCAGGATGTGCAGACGTGGCAAAGCATGGGGGGCAGGAGCTGGGGAGGGGATTGGTCAGGCTGGTGAAGGGCACCTTCTGCTCCTCCAGGGAAAGGTGTTTCCCAAACTGAGGAAGCGAAGCCCCCAGGGCTCCTCCGAGTCTGCATCCGACAAGGAAGATGACGAAGCCACGGATTATGTCTTCAGGATCATCTACCCCGGGACACAGGCAGAGTTTGGTGGGTGCAGGGAAGGCTTTGGGGGGGTTGCAGGGGCTGGGACATGGCACTGATGGCCATGGGGCAAACCAGGAGATGGTTCCAGGGGAGGGGCTCTGGTTGTGCCAGTGCTGCCTGATCTTAAATGTCACCATTCCTCGCTGGGAGGGTGGGAGAACCTGGCACAGAGCAGCTGTGGCTGCCCCATCCCTGGGAGGGTCCAAGGCCAGGTTGGATGGGGCTTGGAGCAACCTGGGGTCATGGAAAGTGTCCCTGCCCGTGGCAGGATGTGGAATGGAATAATCTCTAAATTCCCTTCCAACCCAAATCATTCCATGATTCTGTGTTGGTGGGGGTTTTTTTTGTTTGTTTTAACTTCCAGTTGCTACCGAGTCCTTTGTTTCTGCAGCTGCACAACAGCATTAATGGTCAGGAAAAACCCTCTTAATTTCAGTCCAAAAAATTGACTTTGGTCACTTGGGGGCCACCTTCTACCATCACAAGCCCCCAGGGCTGACTCTTCTCTTGCTGCCCCCAGGCTGCACTAAATCCAGTGATGTTCCTTCAGTGTGGCTCCTGCAGCACAAAGGGGAGGTCACAGCACCCATCTCTGGGTGCTGCCAGGCTGCACCCACCTGTCTTCAGTCGTTGACTCGAGGGAGGGGATGCTGCTGGATTCTCCAAACCAGAAATGCCTCTTAATGTCTGGTGGTGAATGATCTGAACCTGGCTGAAATGTTTGTATATTTGTCCTCACTCTTCTGTGAGATGCCAAGAACTGTTTTCTGACCTCTGGGGACGTCATAGGTGACTTTATAAGGAGGAAAGCGTGAGTTTTGGGTAGAAGTTTGAGTTTTAGGTAGAAGACTTGTGTAGAGTTTTTTAAAAAAGACTCTGAAATCTAATGGAAACCTTTTTCCTACATTTTGGAGGCTATGAGGGAGAATTGCATCCGCTGTGACTCCTCCATAACGTCACTTGAGATTATACTTGGTTCTCCCTGCCTTCAGCTGACTAACACAACTCAGTGAGTCAGATAAAAACCTGATTGAAGCTAAAGCAGCAGACAGAGATGTGCCTTTCTGCCTTTTGATCTACCCCTTAAAATTCCATGCTGGGGGCCACATTTTCTGGGAAATGAATTGCTGCCATCTCCTCAGCTGGCATCATCACAGCCTGTGCTGTCCCTGTGCACCTCCCCAGCCAGGGGTGGAACTGCATCATTCTCTCTTCTCCACAGATTCTTCTTTTCATCCCTTTCATTGGTGCCTTTTTCCTCTCTCTGTGTCTCTAGTTGCCATTAATGGTGCTTTTCACCCATTCATTGCACCTGTGACTGCTGGGAGAGGGAAGATCCTGAAGATTCCAGCTGGAAGCAGGATGGTGGTGATCCCTAAGTGGTGTCTGAGTCTCCCTGGCACATCCCGAGCTCTCCGTGCTGCTCTGGCCACCTCTTGGCATCAGAGTAATGACCTGTTGGTTGGGTCTGGTGCTCAGCTCACCTGTGTTGTCACTTGAGAGGTCCTGCAGAGCTGTCCCTGTCACCACTGACTGTCACTGACCATCAGGGAAGGGACTTTTGTGGGAATAATTCAATATTTTTCCTATCATTTATTCCTTATCACAAGCAGGGAGAGCCAGTGAGACCAAGAGATAGCGAGGACACCTTTGCCCAGCCAGAAGATGAAATTTCTACCACAATTTAATTTCCAATGAGGAGCAAAAAGGATTATTCCTCATGGGCTGGGCTGTGTGTGGGTGCTACCTGAGGCCTTTGCAGTAGCACTTTGAGTTTAAGCAGGGATTAACAAGTGACAACATGCAGAGCTCCTGCTGTTCCTCTTCATCCAAGTCTTCATCTCCTGTCTTGTGATTTGGATGCTCTCTTCTTGTGATTTGGATGCTCCCTTCTTTCCCTGAACTTTGGATGGGATCCTTTGAGGGATGGACCTTTTCCCTTCCAGTAATCCACTCTTCCTGGGGCAGCAGCTGATTTCAATCCTGTTTTCTCTCTGCAGCCTCTGTGTTGGGTGCTGGGTTTCTGCCTTGGTCAACACGAAGCAGTTTAAGATCAACACTCTGCATTAGCTGGTTAATTAGTGATGGTTCTCTCTCATGAGTGCTCTTGGTTCCCTTTCCTTTCTCCTGAGCTCACCAGTGATTCCCTGTGGTGGGTCCTGCTTGGTTGCTGGAGCCTCCTTGGGAGGAGTGGGATGCTGCATTTGCCAATGAAAGCTCTGTCTCTGCTGGGCTCCTGTAGCTCCCTGACTCCAGACCAGTGCCAGGCTGTAGCTGATGCTCCTCTCTGCCCTCCTGCAGTGCCCCAGGACCTGATGGACCCTCCAGGGGCTGTCCTGCCCCCCATGTGGCAGCCCAGCACCCGCAAATCCTCCTGCTCCTCCTGCTCCCAGAGCGGCTCCTCCGACGGGGGCCCGGCCAATGGCTGCAGCCACGAGAGGTACGAGGGCACAGGGGCACAGCAGAGCCAGGGCTCAGTGCCCAGGAGCCACGGCAGGGTCAGGGGATGTCACTGAGGTGAGGCTTGTCCCTGCATCTCCATGGCCTGGCAGCTGGAATTGCTGCTCTGAACCTGGAGAGCATCCCTGGTGAATCTGTGCAGGCAAAGCTGGATCCCTGGGATCAAAGCCAGGCTTTGAGGGGATGCACAGGAGCATTTTCTCCCCTCACATCCTGTGAGGCTAATTAGAAATTCCATTTAGGTTTTAGTACCTTTTTGACCCTCTGATGTTTCTTTATTCTGATGTTTATGGATAATTTGGTCAGGGTTTTTTCACTTCCATTCAGAATTGTATTAGTTTACTTGCTGTGGTTGCTGTGCACACTCTTAGAAGTGGTGCACAGCCTGAGTGTTATAAACATCCTCGGTGTTTTTGTTGGCAGAGCTCCCCTGAAGCTGCTGTGTGACAACATGAAGTACCAGATCCTGTCCCGGGCTTTCTATGGATGTGAGTACTTGTCACCCTGCTGCTGCTTTGGGATGTGGATGGGATGGGATAAGGGATGAGGTCCTGGGCTGGGAGCGGTGCTGGGGCACCTGGCAGTGGCATGGGGAGCTGGGACCAGCCTGCTGCACATGCTCAGGGTGGGGAGCAAACAGCTGGAGCCTTGAGCCCCATGAGCAGCAGCACTGGGGCTACAAGACCAGGGACCTGTCCCTGTGGATTCCCTGCTCCGAGGGCTGGGAGTGGCTGCAGAGGCTCTCCCTTAGGACCCAGCCTCACCTGAGCTTCCTCCTGCTCTTCACCCTCGTGTTCCCTGGAGCTGCACAGCTGAGGGTGTGCTGTTCCTGCTGCAGGGCTGGCCTATTGCAGACACCTGTCCACGGTGAGAACTCACCTGTCAGCGCTGGTGAACCACAACATCGTGTCCCCCGACGTGCCCTGCAGCGCCAGCGCGGGGCTCACCGTGGACATCTGGCACAGATACCTGCAGGACAGCTCGGTAGGGCCATGCCCTGGGGACACTGCAGGGATCAGGGAGCCCAGGGCAGTGTCACTGAAGTGGGTGTAGCATGGGCAGGTGGTGGAACATGCCAAGAAGTTCCTCAAGCAGCAAAGTCAGCCAGGCTGCACAGAGCCCGAGGCTCCTAATCCTTGGCATGTGAGAGCTGAGGAGTGAACACTGCTCTTGTTAAAGAGCTCCTGCTCAGAGCCTGCCTGCAGCAGTGTCTGTCACCCAGCTACTGCTGTCCTGATGTACTGCCACGTCAGAGGCACAGCAGTGGCCCTCAGTGACTTTAGTGGGCCACTCTTTGGTGTGGAGAGCCAAAATGTTCACTCACAGCAGCCTCTGGCTCTACTTAAGCCCAGGCAGGGTTCTGAGGGATCATCTGCAGCAGATGGGCAGCAGGGCTGGGCTTGGGTGGGGTCTGGGAGTGCTCTGGGTGCTAAAGGGTGGCACAGCCAGGCTGGGGACACCCACACATCCAATGTGGCAGCTGTGTCTGTGCCCTGACCCAGGCTCTTCCCACAGAGTTACGAGGACCAGGAGCTGCTGAGGCTGATCTACTACGGTGGCATCCAGCACGAGATCAGGAAGGCTGTGTGGCCCTTCCTGCTGGGCCATTACCAGTTTGGGATGACGGAGGCAGAGAGGAAGGAGGTTGGTGAGGGTGTGCTGCCAGCTCAGCATCCTGCTGTGTGTCCTGGTGCTGCCCAGGGGAAGGGTCTGAGCAGAGCCCACCCTGTGAGCCCTCGTGTCCACTCAGGACTGGGCTGTAGGAGTGGGGTCAGCAGGAATTGGTAGCACCAAGCTTGTGCAGCTCCTCATGCTCAGTGCCCTGTGCACCTTGGGAGGGCAGGGACGAGATGGACGGGCGTTTTTCCATCCAAATTTTGGGCACGTTTTGTAAGGGTGCCACAGTTCACACACACATGTGAACAGGTTCGGGGCTGTGCAGGGACAGCCATTCCCAGCCCCTGTGTGTCCCCTCCGTGTCCCAGGCTGACGAGCAGACCCGGGCGTGCTATGAGCACACGATGGCAGAGTGGCTGGGCTGCGAGGCCATCGTCCGGCAGCGCGAGAAGGAGTCCCACGCTGCAGCCCTGGCCAAGTGCTCCTCGGGGGCCAGCCTGGACTCCCACATCCAGAGGATGATGCACAGGGACTCCACCATCAGCAACGAGGTGAGGGCATGGGGAGATTGGGCAGTGTGGGGTGGAGGCACGGGTCCTGTCCACCCTCCTCCCCTGGTCTGTGCCCACCTGTGTGTCTTTGTTTCTCACTGTGCTCTGTGGAAGTGAGGTATTCGTTGTCTGATGTGCCTGGGGCACGTCAGGATTAGCTCCATGGAAGATGGTTTGAAGTAGGGGTGAGGAGGAAGAGCAGTTGCTGGCACTAAGGGGCTGTGAAGCGGGGTTTCCTGCATTTTGCAGCATGGAAGAAGCCTCAGCACACCCTTGGTACACTGTGTCATCCATGGAGACACCCGGCACCTTGGGACTGGCAATGCAGTGAGGAATGAGATCCACAGCCCAAACCAAAGGGTGTGGAGGGAAAAGCCTGTGAAAGGAAAGGCAGTCCTGGGAACAGAGTCCAGGGAGTGTTTCCATGAGGGTTTTGTCCTTGGAGGAGAAGAGCCCAGCATGGCAGAGCATTCCCTGACCTCAGGCTGCTGGCCCAGAGGTGAGGGGAGCGCTGGAGACTTGATCTGCTTCCCTCTGGGAACTTTGTGTGGGTGCTTTGGGAAAGAGATGAGCTCAGCCCCAGTCCTGCAGGCTACGTGTGTGCCCAGAGAGGGAGAGAAGCAAGGAAGGCAGGTCTGAGCCAGGGCAGGGTGGAACTGGATGATGCAGCTCTCAGGGTGAGCAGAGGCGCTGCTCTGTTGGCTGAAGCCCTGGGAATCATTCCCATCCCCTCAGCATCTCCACCGTGGCTCTTCCTTTGTACCCACGTGTGCCTCTTTTGGGAACAGGCACTGGGAAGGGAGCTGGCAGAGTGAACGCATGCAAAGTTCCCCCCTTTTCCCATTCTCAACCTGAAATTTCCTGTTTTAAGTGCTCCCATGGTAATGGAGGAAAACTGTCGCCCTTCCTCTCCCCACCAGAGCCCTGCCCAGCAAACACCCACAATACAAGGGTGGGGACAAGTGCTGTTCTGAATGTGCTGTATTTTCTTAAAATCCTATGGTTTGTGTGTGGCATTATGGCCATGCTCTGCACGTCTGCTCAGTTAATGGGGAGGAGTTGCTCTCATTGAGGGCTGGTTGCTCAGAGGGATCCCATGGAGCTGAGCATGGAGCTGGTGCCTGCAAAGCCCAGCCCTTCTCTCTGTGCTTCAGCTGGAAGCCAGAACAGGGTGCTCGTGACTTTGAGAGGAGCTGCTTCCACCGAGTCTGGCTTAAAACATCAATATTTGTCCTTGAAGAAAAGGAAAAAAAGCATGAATATGCTTGGAGGGACTGTTTTATAGCCTGACTTCATCGTTTATGTAAACTGAGCTGGGCTGAGCTGCATTGCTGCCAAATTAGGACAGAGATTTGTAGAAATTTGCAGTCCAAGGAGGCAGCGTGACCTCTGTGCAGAGGAAAGCAGCTCCTGCAGACCCAGCACACAGCACTTGAGCAAGTGCACTGACCTGGGGCTTTGTCTTTGTCACCTTCCCAGCAGTGTCAGGGGCTGAGGCAGGGCACAGCGCTGGGTGACACAGCAGCATTGATGTGACAGGAATGTCCTCCATGGGTCAGGCACCTAATGGATCCATTTTCTGCTTGTTCTTCACCTGTAGAAGTGCCACCTCTGCTTGAGTTCCCTCGCCCTGACCCTTTTTCTTTTCTTTCTCACTGCCCTTCTTGCTGTCCCCTCCAGTCCTCGCAGAGCTGCAGCTCTGGCCGGCAGAACCACGCCCGGCTGCAGAGTGACTCCAGCTCCAGCACCCAGGTGAGCACCTTGTCCCTTCATTCTTTGTCCCCACGGCTCTGCCTGGGCTTGGGCTGGCCCTTCTCCACAACCACAATGATTTCTGGCAAACAGAACCAGTGTTGGAAGGGGTAAATGAGTTCCCAACCTGCTTTGGAGCTGCTAATGTCAGAACTGTGCTGTGCTTGTGGTGTTCAATGTTCACCTGCCAGCTCTGCCCCGTGGCCTCACACCTGAAGGCTCCTGGCTGCTCCCTCTGTTCATGCCCAGGTGTTTAACACCTCTTGAAATTTCTGCCTGGTATATAATGCCAAGCAAAGCATAGTCCCTCAGAGCAGGGATTTGTGGGCTTGGAGTTGTGCAAATGACCAAGCACTGACTCAGATCCAGGGAGAAGGAGTCAAAGGGGGATTTTCCTCCCTCTCCACTGCTGGGAACGTGGGCACTATGAGTGCAAAGCTCCTAGGGATGTAGTACCCGTGTTCCTAACTGGGATGTCTTCCCACTTTGCAGGTGTTTGAATCTGTGGATGAGGTGGAACAGACTGAAGTAGATTCTCAGATGGAAGATGGCAAACAAAGCAAGATCCCCAATGGGACAGTCCCCAATGGCACGTGTTCCCCTGATTCTGGACACCCCTCTTCCCAAAACTTCTCCATCACATCGGGCTTCTCAGAGCGCAGCTTCAGCAACGAGGACAGTGCCCTGGAAACCACCAAATCCTCCTCCAGCTCCCAGGGAAAGGCTGCAGGGTCTGATGTGCCTGCCCCACCAGACACAGATGGTGTCCAGCAGGAGAAGCTGCAAGGCCAAGACAGCCTGGAAGGTGAATTTCCCCCTGGTGGAAGCGTGGACTTTGTCCCCATGGGTGAGGGCTCGGCGGGGCTGCTGCGTGACAGTGACACTGTGGCCCTGACTGTGGTGGAGAGCTGGACAGACAGCCAGGCTGAGAAGCAGAGCCTGGTGGAGAGCGAGGACAACCTCTCTGAGGAGCCAGAGATGGAGAGTCTGTACCCACAGCTGGACTCTCTGACTGTCACTGATCTGACCAGCACTGAACCAGCTGCTCTCTCCTCCACGGGTGTCACCTACTCTGTAAGTACAGACCTGGCCGGGGGGTTCCTTCCTGGCTCCCTCACAGAACCCCAGAACAGCTGGGGTGGGAAGGGCTCTCTGGACATTATCCAGTCCAACCCCCTTGCCAAGGGAGGGTCAGCTGGAGTAGGTGACACAGGAACGTGTCCAGGTGGGTTTGGGATGTGTCCAGAGAGGGAGATTCCGTTCTCTCCCTGGGCAGCTGTTCCAGGGCTTTGCCACCCTGCATGGGAAGTTCTTCCTCGTGTTGAGGTGCAAGTTGTGTTTCAGTTTATGGCCATTGCTCCTTGTCCTGTCACTCAGCACCAATGTAAAGACTCTGGCACTCTCCTCTTGGCACACAATTTGAGATGTTTTGTATGGATTGAGAAGATTTCCTCTCAGTCTTCTCCAGACTGACCAGGCCCAGCTCCCACAGCCTCTCCTCATCACAGAGATATTTCAGACTCCAAATAATCTCTCTGGCCTCTGCTGGACCCTCTCTGGCAGCTCCTTGCCTTTCTTGAGCTGTGGAGCCCAGAACTGAGTGCAACACTCCAGATGTGCCTCCCTGGGGCTGAGTGGAGGGGCTGTAGTTGGGCATAGAGGGGCTCCCACCTTCCACCCAAACTCTGCCCCATTGCTCCACTGCCCTTATGACTCTCTCCCTGCTTTTTACTGGGAAACAAATCAACTCTGCTCTTGTTTTGGGCAGCCAGAGCTGCTGGACATGTACACGGTGAACCTGCACCGCATTGAGAAGGACGTGCAGCGCTGTGACCGCAACTACTGGTACTTCACTCCTGCCAACCTGGAGAAGCTCCGCAATGTCATGTGCAGGTGGGGGCTGCGAGGGGCTTCCTGGGATTCACCTGCAGCCTGGAGCCTCAAACTGTGCTGTGGTTATGGAGTTTTGCTCCTCCTTGTCCTCCCCTCATCGTCCCAGCTCCAAGGATGCGGCGGTTCCCAGACCGAGGTGTCCTTCCCCATCCCTGCTGTGTCCTGGGGGTTTGGCCAAGGCAGAGGCTCCCAGTGCAGCCCACCTGCTTCCTGGGGCATGCCTGGAAAGTGTTTTAATGAGGGTCAGCCCACTGAGCTGTAGTGCTAATGAGAAAGTGCCTGAAGCACCAGAATGGTTTGTGCCTGCCCAAAATCCCAGGGGAGAGCCAGACCTGGGTACATTTCTGAGTCCTTGTGACTCAGAGCTTGCCTAGTGACACTCACAGACTCAGACCAGCTCCAGCTCAGCTGCTGCTTCACAGGCAGTGAAGGATAAAATATTATTACTCATCTTGCAAACATGAGGAGAAGCTGCAGTTCCATCAGTGCTGTCACTTCAGCCGACAGCCAGAGCTGGAGATCTCTGCTGAGATTAGACCTTCAGCACAGCACATTTTGGAAAACCAGTGGGCAGGATGGAAAAGATCCTTCCCTTGTGCCAGCAGCAGATTTGAGTCCTCTCTGAACACATTTTGCCTTGCTACCAAATAAGGGAAGATATCCCTGCAGGGCTGGGTGCTTCCTGGGACACTGGGAATGGGAAGGCGAGGCAGGCAGTGTCTGCAGAGAGAACCAAGGGGATGAATGGGGGGAGAAGGGTGAGAATGAGAGATGAACAAATTCTCTCAGTGTCTGCCCTTTAACCAATGACCCCACTGTGTTGTGCTTTCCCATTTTGCTTTTCCCTGCTCTGATTTTTCAATTTTTCAATTGCCATGGCACAGCCCCAGCCCTGCTGACCCTGGATGTGGCCATGGCAGGGTGTTGATCCAGGATTGTGCCATGCGTGCCTTACCTGGGAGGCAGCACAAGAATTTAATCACTTGCAGCACAGGGATAACAGAATGAACAGCTGTGATTTTCCTGGGGAGGGAGACAGGGCGTGGGCAATGAGGTGGCAGGTGGTGGCACTCAGGTCCCAGGTCACCTCTTCTGCTCTCTCACACAGCTACATCTGGCAGCACATTGAGATTGGCTACGTGCAGGGGATGTGTGACCTGCTGGCCCCTCTCCTGGTCATCCTGGATGATGGTGAGTGGGTGGCTCTGCTCTGCTTCCCCTGTCCCTTTGTGGGGATCTGTGGGGGCATGTGCCAGGTGGGTGGTGGCCCTTTGCAGTGGAGTGCCTGGAGGTGTGGAGCAGGATCCTGTTTGTCTGTGATGCTGCCTGGCTCCTAGGAGCCCACCCTGGGGCTAGGGTGAACTTTTTGGAGGGACATTGCTGCTGCAGGAGCAGCAGTGCCCCTGCAGCAGCAGTGATGTCTCTCGTCCCTGCACAGAGGCTCTGGCTTTCAGCTGCTTCACTGAGCTGATGAAGAGGATGAACCAGAACTTCCCCCACGGAGGAGCCATGGACACCCACTTTGCCAACATGAGGTCGCTGATCCAGGTCAGAGTTCCTGGCACAGGGATGGCAGCTCCTCACACTCCAGGTCCTGGAGGGGCTGAGGAGGGGGATTCAGTGCTGGGGAGCAGGAGGGACAGCAGGGGCTCTAAGGACAGCCTGGAGCAGTGTGTGCCAAGAAAGAGAGGGAGGAGCTGCTGCAGCAGGAGAGCAGTGGAATGGAGGGAAGTAGGCAGAGGGATTGTTGGTGCCATGTGTGTGCATTCCTGAGTTTCCTTTTGCTTTTCTTGACAGATTCTGGACTCTGAGCTCTTTGAGCTGATGCACCAGAATGGAGATTACACTCATTTCTACTTCTGCTACCGATGGTTTCTCCTGGACTTCAAGAGAGGTGTGTTCTGAGACCACCCAGGGGTGGGGCAGGGCCTGCTTCCAGGCTTCTCAGCAGGTTTAAACTTACTTTAATTCCTTTTCACTTTTCCCTGGCTGATTGTTCTGTCTAGATACAGAACCTGTTGTTCCAGAGCTGCTGCTGAGCCTCTCCATGAGTGTGTCCTGGGGCCTGTGTCACCTGCTGCCAGGCAGAATATTTCTCCCTACAGATGGCTGATGCTTCCAGCTGAAGCAGGTTCCTGTAGGAAGGAAGCACCCAGTGTGTCTCCCCAGCACTGCTGTGAGCTCTGTGGGTCAGGGTGGGGTGAGTGGAGTGGTAACTGTGGTTCTCTGCTCACAGAGCTGGTGTATGATGATGTCTTTGCTGTCTGGGAAACCATCTGGGCTGCTGCTCACGTCTCCTCTGCTCACTACGTGCTCTTCATAGCCCTGGCCCTGGTGGAGATGTACCGGGACATCATCCTGGAGAACAACATGGATTTTACAGACATCATCAAGTTTTTCAATGGTACAGCTCGTGCTCTGTTGGGCTGAGTTGGGGGCAGCTGCTCAGGCTGTGGACAGTCACATCTGGGCAAGGCTGGAGATGTTTAACACCCAGAGCTTTGAGGGATTTGGTGGGGCTGGAATCCAACCTGGATGTGTTGGAGGGAGCTGAGGTTTGGGCTGTGCTTCCTGCGGCTTTCCCCATCCCCTGGGGCTGGTTAAGGATGGCTCTCCAGAGCCAGGTGTCCCTGTGAGGGGAGGTTGGGAATGTGGGCAGCAGAGCTGTGGGGTGCAGCTGCTCAGGTCTCACCTGGTCCCTCTGTCTGTGTTGCAGAAATGGCCGAGCGCCACAACACCAAACAGATCCTGAAGCTGGCTCGGGACCTGGTCTATAAAGTGCAGACTCTGATCGAGAACAAATGAAGGGCCCAGGGCAGATGAGGCACCCAAAGAGCCAGGACTCCCCTCTGATGCTTCCTCCCTTCTCCTGTTTCTCCAAGTGCCACACCTGTGGGACTCAGGTGGGGGGACACGTGCTGCTGTGTGAGCTGGGAGTCCCCTGGGCTCAGCACAGACCTTCTGCAGTGACTCGACCAAAGATCCCTCCAGGTGTGTTCCTGTGCCACGAGCAGGACCAGGCAGTGGCTTCCTGGCCACCAAAACTGCCCAGGCATTGCCACATCCCAGGGTGGAGCTCAGAGGCTGGGGCAGCAGAGTTTGGTGGCACAGAGGGAAAGCTGCTTCCTTGGAAAGCTGCTTCCTTGGGCAGCCCTTCCCTGTGGTGTGGGAAGGCAGCCAGCCCTGCCAGCCTGGGCAGCACAGGGATGCTGCCAGTTCTCAGCTTCTCAGCAACACCACAAGGTTCTGCCAGTAATGGGGGGGACTTTGATCACAGAAATTCCTCTTTTGATCTTGTCCCTCAATGCGTTGCTTCCCCTTCAGGGTTTTCTTTTCTTAGGGCTCTGTTTTCTCCCTGGGATTTTTACATTGTTCCTACAATATCAGAGCACACAAGAGCTTCGTGTCTGGATGGATTTTCAGAACAGCTCCAAATTCAGCATTGAGGTTATTTTTCAAAATCCAGCCTCTCTAATGTTCTCTGAACGCTGGGAAATCTGGTCCTGACCTCCTCTGGGAACTCCAGGCTGGAGATTTTCTTACCTGCCTTACTTTAGCTGCTTGTGTAGGAGTCTGGTCTCCTTGTTGTTCCTCTGAGCTCTTGTGAGGGAAGGGCTCCTCAGGAGGCAAGTCAGAGCTCCTGATTATCCTGACTTTCCCTCTGACAGCTCTAGGGCTGGCTATTGAGTCCCCTAAACCCACTGAGCATCTCCAGTTAGGTCTTGGTGGGCTTCTCCCACAGGCCTGTGAGAGGAAAATAGCCCAAGGTCCCTGAGTGGTCTTTGCTTTGGGAAGATGCATTTGTGTGGCCACTTTTCCTGCACAGCCTGGAGCCCACTGCATGAAGTGCCTCTCCAGCTGCTGTGTCCCACACAGGCTGCCCTGCAGAGGCTTCAGAGTCATTTTTCAACTCAGGTAAAAACAATACAAGAAAAGGAGAGGGGGTGGGTGGATGGAGGGTCCAGCCCAGCCGGGGAGGGCAGTGCTGGGCTGGAGCTCTCTCTGAGGGTTCTTTCTCTCAAGTTTTGCTGCAAACATTTGTGTTCCCCCCCCCCCGGTGCAATGTGTGCTGTGTGTGTGCTCTCCTCTGGCCCTGCTCCTGCCTTGCTGCTGGAGTGCTCCCATGGGAGGGAAAGGAGCTTTTCCTCCTCCCAGGGAACATCTGTCTGTGCTGGTTTGTGTTGGCTCGTGGCTCGTGTCAGATGTTGCTGGCAGAAAAAAGGTGGTTGTCAGTCTGCAGCAGAGAAAACTGCTGCTTCAGGGAAGGTCTGAGCAGCACAGTGGAGTGGTTTGCTGTTTCTGAGCAAATCAGCAATTTCTGTATTCTGGGACATGGAGGTCACAGCTGGAAAAGGCCAGTGGCACATCCTGAACCCTTTGGGGAAGGGGCTGGGGCAGGGGGAGAGCAATGGCAACCCTTCAATCCTCATAATCCCAACAGACGTCTACAACAGTCTGGGAAATTTTCTGAAGCCCAAAGGGTGCTGGGCTGCAGTAGCACAGGAAACAAAGAGCTTGAGATCTGCCAGTTCCTGTGAGAATCTTTCACCTTTCCACCAAGCAGAGTGAAAAGCTCGTGTGTCCTCCCTCCTTCCCGGGCTGCTCCTGTTCCCTCAGGGTTCTAGGACAGATCTGTCACCTGTCCTAGAGGGAAAGGAAAATGCTCTGTTCTCCCTTTCCTGAGGGACAGGGACCCACAGCTCACCTGAAACACCACCTGACCAAGCAACGTCGCTGACACTAAACCTTTCAAGCTTCTTTCCTTGGTTTTTAAACAAAAACAGCCAAGAAATTCTGCACAATATTTGCTGTCTGTATTAACTGAGAGTGTCTTTGGGCCGCTCAATAGCAGTGTTTTTTGAATAATTTTTTTTTTTTGGGGGGGGAAAAAGAGTATTTATTTATGGATTGTACCTGACTGTGTGTCCTTGTGTGCTGGCGTGTGAGTGCGCGCTGTTGTGCAAATGGAGATAGAAATTTTCAATGTTATTTACGATATCTTGTAAATGTTTACCAGAGAATTGTGTCTATATATAATATATATACAGTATAGAGAGAAAATATGTGAACTAAGTGGGTTATTTTTTGAAGAGGGAGGGTGAGAAATCTTTTGCTTCTAAGAACTGTGTGGTTTCTATAGCACCTATTCCATGATGTGCCAATTTGTCACTGTCCCTGTGCTGGGAGAGTTGTTCTGGTGGGGCAACAGGAATCTCAGAGCAGAGCCACCATCACAACCTCAGTTTGGCTTCATCTTGGTTCTGACTTTAAGACTGGATAAGAGGGGGGAAAAAGGAGGGGAAAATAACATTAAAAAGCTTTGTTTCAGCTATGTTGCTGGGCAAATTCTTGTTCTTGTGGGGACCCACAGTGAGACCCCACCAGGAGCCTGGGGCTCTCTTTGATGGTGAAAAGCTGCTAAGAAGCTGAAAAGCAAAGGTTTTGCTGTGCAGCTGTTTGTGGGTCTTCTCTGGCCTCAGCCTGTCCTGCCTGGCTGTGCCCCCCTGCTGGATCCCCACGAGATAAAGCCTTGTTCTGGAATTCTGACAGGGGCAGTTGTGGCCCTTGGGATCTCTCCCAGCTGTGCAGCCAAGGATGGCCTGTTTGCCACGCAGCAGAGCCCTGTCACCAGGCTTGGCCATATACAGTAATCTTGTCTGGCCCCTTGGGGAAGAGGAATGTCTCATCCCAGCAGCTCTGTGCAGCTGAAATCCTCCCCACAATGGCACTGCCAGCCCAGGGCTATTTTAACCTGTTGTTGGCTCTGTGGGAACAGGGACTGGAGCTCTGTGCCTTAAACTGACAGAGGGCAGGGTTAGATTGGATTTTAGGAAGAAATTCTTCACTATAAGGCACTGGCACAGGGTGCCCAGAGATGCTGTGGCTGCCCCTGGATCTCTGGAAGCGTCCAAGGCCAGGTTGGATGGGGCTTGGAGCACCCTGGGAATGGAGTGGAACTGGGTGATCTCTAAATTCCCTTCCAACCCCAACCATTCCATGACTCCACTTTTTGAGGAGACTGCTGCATTCTCCCCTGGGTGCAGCAAGGCTTGCATGAGCTGCCAGGTGTTCTCTGCCCAGTCCCTCCAAAGCTGAGCCTAAGGAAGGATGGGCTCCCTGGGCTGAGTTCAGCTCTCCTCACACCCTCCCTGAGCACCCACCTTGCTGTGGGGTTCGGGGTTTTTCTCAGTTTTGAGCTGCTGAGCTCAGATAATCTCGGTGTGACTGTTTGTGTCCTGGCCCTGTGCTCCCCTGAGGGAGTGACAAATGGACTCTGTTCCTGCATTTGAGCTTTCTGCTCATGCAACCTCCCAACGAGCTCCTGGTGTCTTTTGGTGTCACCTGTGCAGACCCTTTAGAGGTTGTGTTTGTTCCTAAATGTGTGATTTTCCTCTTGCTGTGTTGAGTCCCTGAATGGCTCTGCTGTGAAGGTTTTTTTGTGAAGACTGAGAGGGTTTTTTTGTGTGGGAACTTCCTGCTGTGTCCCTGTCCTGCTCTCATCCAGCCCTTGGCATGGGGAACATCCCTTAACTCACCCAAATGCACCTGGTGGTGCAAGGTGAGCCAGCAGTGGAACTGCAGGTGCCAACCCTTGTCACTGACAGGTGAAAAAAAAGGCTGAGAGATGGAACTCTTGAAGAGGTTGGGGTCCCAAAATCCCTGGAGACACAAGCCTTGTGTCTCCACAAGAGCAGTTTATGGGATGAAGTTCTTCTAATTCTTTGTTCTTTATTTACTTATTTATTACTTTGCCTATTTCCCCTCTCTTTCCCAGGTTATCCTGAGGTTGTTCCCATGCACTGGGAGCCACTGTAGCCAATGGGCCTCTGAGCAGAGATGGGACCAATTTTGAGATTCTCATCCCCTAAGTTTGCTTTAGAAATATCTTACAGTATCGAAATCACTTTTCTCTAGAGGCACAGTGGGAGCCTCTGAGCCTTTGATCAGTAGGACCAAAATGATGGTCATGTCATCAAAACCTCTGTCTCATTTCTCATTCCGTTTGGGAATTTCCCTGAGTACAGAGCAGTTCTGGGCTTGTCTTCAGCATTTTACCATAGTGTGAGCACAAATTGATAGAGCACAATGTAGAGATGGAGTTCCAGCCCTTCCTAGCACTATGGAAGATTTGGAACTCACCAGAACCTGTGTCAGAAATTCCTATAAAAGCATTTTCAGGCACCCTGAAGTAGATCAAATGCCACTGATTGTTCCTGCTTTTCCACTCAAGGTCAGAATAAGCAATATTTCACTGATTCAGGCATCTAGACAATTGTGGTGCTCAGTGAAGCCACATTTCTGTCCTCTGGTGGCCACACGGGCCATGGCTGAGGCCATTTGGTGCTGTAGCCACACATTCACACAGCTCAGTGTGCAAATTCCTTCCCAACTTTGCCCAAATCCTGAACTTCCTGGAGAATGTACGTGGCTGGAATAGCTGTGGGAGTCTTTTAATATGTCTAACCTGATCTAATTCCTAATTTAATTTTAGATTGGTGATAAGCATCTTCCACCTTAAATTCCTGTTCAGTGGTTTAACAGCTTCCTTTTATAGATGGATTTTGCACATGGAGGCTGAGCAGAGCCCCTGGATGGGGCTGCAGGGGATGGTCCCTTCTCCACAGTGGCTCCTGAGCCATTGGCAGTGGGACATGACCAGGAGCAAGGGCACTTTGAGGGGAAAAAAAAAAAAAACATTTACCCTTTTTAAAATACTACTTTTTGTTTGTTTGTTTGTTTTGTTTAACAAATTAATGGTAAAGATTAAACTATGCACAAGATCTTAAATATGTGGAAGTTTTAGGAATGAGTATGGCTTTGCTTCTAAGGATGATAAAGGATTGAAAATCCTGATCCTGGATACCGAGAGACTAAAAATGTCATTGTTGTGACTATGTAAGATTGACTTAAATTCTCAGAAATTCGTTCTCTCTGGAGAGTAATTCCCAGAAGCCAGGGAAGAAGTTGTTTTCCCAAACAGAATTAATGAAAAGCTTTGAAAATGCAACGTGGATGTAACCTCAGACCCACGATTGTCACTTCCCCTGTTCAAGGAGTGTTCTGGAGAGCTGGGCAGGGTGACAGGATGTGACAGCCATCGTGGGGGTCTGTGGGACATGGAATTACCCCTCAGCACAGGGATTTGAATGTATCTGGTGTCCTGGCATTAGACTTTTCTGTTGCCCTACTCAGAATTGCTGCTTTTCTCTGTTGGATGCCATTTTGGTCTCTGGGAGTTGCTCGAACTTAACGAGCACTTACAGCTTTTAATCTATTTGTCAAAGTGCTGCTAATGTTCTTAGATTATCTGGATTCCACACTGTGGTACAATATCTGTTTTATATTATTTTATTCATGCTTTTGGGTTTTTTTTTAAATGTAAACTGTTCCTTATTGTTGTTGAGAAAGAAAGAAAAATTAAAGCTCTATTCTCTATGGTTAATGTATTTTCAAATCAATCAGATCCTGGTGGTTCTTTCTGTCTGTGTGGTCCGTGGGAAGGAATGGGGATACCCTGAGCAGGGAGTGCCCAAAATGCTCTGTATTTCCACACTGCTCCCAGATTCCAGAGTCCCTTATTGCTTATTGTCCCCTGTGCTGGGGGCCCTGCTGTCACCTGGGCTCATTTTGCACCCCCCTTGCCCTCATGGTCCTTGCTTTTCCCCATCCCCATCCCTTGGCCAGCTTTGCTGACCCTGTCCCTCTGGGCAGATGTGTGGCAGTGACACCTCCGTGGCTCTGCTGGCACTGTCACCTCTGTCCTTTCTCTTGTTGTACCACCCTCTAAAGTGCAGAATTCAAACTGATGGTGAAATGGAGTGATTGAAGAGGAGGAAAAGCCCTGGGGATGGGCTGAGCCAGGTCTTTGGTGCTGTGTGGAGTCACCTGCCCCGGACAGAGCAGAGGGGGAGGTGACAGAGGGTCCTGGCATGGTGGCAGCCCAGAGCTGGGACACGGTGGTGATGCTTTATACACCTGTGTGTGATCCTGTGCTGCCAGGTGAGCTGTGCAGGAGGGGAGGGAGTGCATTCTGCAGTTCTCACCTTGGCCTTGATCCCGTTTACCTGCCTCGCTGTTTCCTGGATCAGTCTCCAGAATTTTAGCAGTGATGGGATGGGCTGTGGTGCCTTCCTTGCAGGGAACGAGAGGGACAAGTTTTTTGTCCAAAATGTGAGGAGGACAAGCTGCCTGTTGTCCCTTGCCCCTGCTCAGGGCTGGCACTTGTCACCCCTCTGGACTCCACAAGATCCTGGGGTGCTCGTGGGTCTTCCAGCTGTTCCATGGGGGATGCCATGTGTGGGAATAGGGAAGAAGTGCCCCCAACCTCCTTTCTGTGGTGTCAGTTCCTGTTGGAGGCAGGAGGGGTCCACATCACCCCAATGCTGTGTTTTTAGCAGCACAGAATTTAACTGCATTTCTAAAAATGGGAATGCAAGGAAGGCTGAATGCTCGCTCCAGATTCCTGCCTCTACCTACTTATGAGAAGAGGCTTAATTAAATAAATCCTGGTATTTAATTAATCCCTAATATGTTTGCATCTTGAGGCATGTTTGCTCTAATGGCCCAGCCCCAGTTTCCAGTGCAGGCTGAGGTTTGCAGGGAGCTCACAGCTCAGAACTTCAAAAGCTGATGAAGACACTCCCCAAACACGCAGAGTTTGCAAAATGTCAGGATGGGATTCAACCAGCCCTTGCAAATGTGTTAATTACCTGATATTAATTGGCAACCTAACCACCAGAGGCCACATCCCCAAGGTGCCAAAGCAGGAATGCTCTGTGTTCAGCCAGGAGAGGCTGGCAAAAATCTTGCCATTCGGATGGAGGAAAGTAAGTGATCCTAAAAGTGAATTTCATTAATTTTTAACTTGGGATAGTTTCTCACAAA